ACTCCAGATTTCAACAGAGGAACCGCGAGAGCGGTCTTTTTCCTGTTGCTACACTCGCAACTCTCAAACATCATCTCCATCTCGGAGATCCAGTTCATGACTTCTACCGGCATCGGGCTTCCAGATAGAATCGGTGGTTTGGACGCCATGAAATCCTTGTATTTGCATCCACGTCTGTCATTTCCTCAGTCCTGGTGGTTTTGCCTAACTATCGGTGGGTTGGCTTGACCAACGGTCCCACTGTAGTTTCCCTCCTTAGTCCGCCCTTCGTTCAACTCGGGCTGTTCGATCTGTATGGTCGATTCCTCTTGATTTTGCTGGAGCAAACGTCTGGTTTCCTCCATTTGACGATCCAACATCGTCTGGATCATCGCTTGCACTCCGACCATCGTTATTGGCTCAACAATGGCTACCACAACCGGTATTTGCTCAATCACTGGGGGTTGGTTTCGGTTCCCATTTGTATTCACGTTTCCGCTACGGGTCCTTGCCATCTTGATCTATACACCGAATAAGGTGAATCAAGATCTTTATTTAGGATTGACGTTTAAATCACCTTTATCACTCCGAAACCTTTATATGCTAGTTCTAATATCGTATTCGTACGTTTAGAATCCTAAACACATAAGGTTTCCAGATCCGGTCGGCAACAGACCATAGATCCGATCAAACTGTAGCATAACAAATCATTTAGCACGTAAAAGCAATTTAGGCGTCATTCCTAAAATAAGCTAGTGCTCACACCTCACAGTCATCGCTTAGCATTCTAAGTTTAAGTCTAGAAATTTCTTACAAATTCCTAGTTCGCTTAAACTAATGCTCTGATACCAACTGTGACATCCCCATTTTCACGGCCAGAAAAAACCGATTTTGTTTATGCTTTATAAAAATCAGAGTACTTCTTTTCATAAAAATGTTGCGGAATTTGTTCCTAGAAAAATACGATAAATACGTTATCAAAATATTTTCGAAGAAACGTATTTTATTCATTTTAAAACGTTTGAGATGTCATCGTCAATACAGAAACATAAGCATAAACAGAACTTACATTTATGTACACTAGTGATCTACATCTCTTTAACCTCTCAGTGTAATGTGACTTCATATCAACACCTGTGATATAAATAAACTGAGTGGGTCAGGTTGGGAAACCTGGTGAGTACACAGGGTTTTCAACCCACAATAATATAATTATTATGTTTAAACAATCAAACAATCAACCCAATTACCTATCCCCATTATCTTCTTTAATCTTAAGGATCTACCCTAAGAATCAGCTATTCCTCGTTCATTCATTCCTAAGGATCATCCTAAGGAATCGGCACAAAGTCCATCGTTGCCACGGTTTACACAAAGGGCACTAAGTCTGCATAGTCGTCAGGGTTTAGGCATCAAGCCTGCATGATCACCAAGGTTTAGGCATCAAGTCTGCATGATCACCAGGGTTTAGGCATCAAGTCTGCATGATCACCAGGGTTTAGGCATCAAGTTTGTATGATCACCAGGGTTTAGAGTACATCGGGTGAACACATCGTTCACAACACCTACAGGTTGCGAGCCTGCTAGTGTTCCATTGGACTGTCTAGAATAGTCTGTGGTTGTCATCCATACTCTGCTGAATGACGGGGCCATCATTTAGGAAAAAGGCTTCTCACATCGTCCACCTCTCACCCTCACCTCATGGTCTATAACACCTCTCAACTCATCATTCAACTCATATTCCATCTATTATATCTACCCATGTTTACCCCAACATTATCGTAGATATAAAATACATATACAGTTTAAATCATTTAAAACATTTATAAAATCGTTCATTTAGCATAGACAACAAGTACTTATATAATATGCACACATAGCACGTAATTTATATAAAATATTTCATATCTATGTGTAAGATGAAAGTAACTATGCACTCACTTGAAAAGGTGGTGATTCCGAACTCAGACAGCGCTTTACTTCTTGAAAAGAAAATTCCTTCGACGAAACCTAGTATTATTACCACTAGAGTTTAGTCTATTATTCACCGAGACTAATTAAAAGTCTAGCTATTATTACTATTATATAACCGTTAAATAATACTTATATAACCCATAATAATAGCACAATTACTTATGATATGTTCTTAATAACGTTAATATAATTAAATAAAAGCTATATTAAAAATAGCGTAGGCGTAGCTCACTTACAACGGGTTTTATAGAAAACCAGGCTTTGCTTGGAGTGGCATTGCCGTGCGGAAAAGCTCTTCTTCTCAGAGTCGTCGAGCACTCAGGGGCTTCCACCTCATGGTAAGGAGGTTCCCTAGGCTTTTCAGGGGGTTTCGGGCCGGCTAGAGAGAGGTTCTAGAGAGAGAGTAAAGAGAAGAAAGAATGAGAAAGGTGTGAAGAAAATGAGGGTGGGAGAGGTTCTATTTATAGGGTGAAAATGGCTGAACTTGGTGTCACATGTCACCATCTAGTGGCAAGACTTGGTGAGAAAGCAATGGCCAAGATTGTGTCACATCACCCATTTTCGCACAGCACACTTCCAACTTCTAAAATCCGTAACTTTCACATACAACCTCCGTTTTTGACGTTCTTTATATCCACGCGTAGGTAAACATAATATCTACAACTTGCATTTTGACTCCGTCGGCTAATTCTCGACCGATCTTAAATTTAACAGTACGAGGCGTTTAGACTGTTAAATGACCGCGAAGAATTCGTAACTCTTTCATACGGACTCTGTTTTCGTCTGTCTTTTTACTGTTAAGTTCCTATTAATGAGATCTTCAACTCTCATTTAAGTCACATAAGCCAAAAACCACTCGAACTAAAATTCGAGTTTCGGGTCGTGCACTGGTAAGCCGAATCTTAGAAAAATCATAATTTCTTCGTACGAAGTCAGTTTTGTGCGTTGTTTTTATGGATTTTCTTGGTTTAAAATATTCTACGACTTTCTTTTAGATCACTAAGGCTAAAAAGTCCTCTATCATAAAATCACTATTTACGCTTCCCAGTACCGTATCGGTTCCGTCGCGAAACTTCGACGGGTCATAACTTCTTCGTTATAACTCGGATTTCGACGCTCTTTATATGTACGGAAACCTTGTGACATATTATACAACTTGGTTAAGATTAATTATTCTAAATAATCTTTTGTCGAAAAGTCATTTTCGACCCCTATTACCTCTAAATTGACTAGCCCGGATCTACGGGCGTTACAGTAGCCCATCATTGATAGAATTCATTCCACGTTATTTGCTTCGAAGGCTAAAACTCTATCTTTCATCGGTTTTCTTAATTTGGTTAAAGTTGTGTTGGGTAGTCTTCCTATCTGTTTTTTCTCCGTGTTTAAGGCTACTACTTCGATTATTGAGTTTTTTGAAGAAAATTAGACACCGTTTTCTTTGGGGCGGGAACGATGATAAAAAAAAAAATTGCTTGGGTGGCTTGGAAAACGGTTCTTGGTCCGAAAGAGAAAGGTGGTCTTAGAGTGGGCTCTCATCTATCTCTAAATTTGGCTTTGCTCTCTAAATGGTTATGAAGATTTAAAACTAACCCAAATGCACTTTGGTGTCAAGTTGTATGTGGTATTCACAATTGTTTGAAAAAAAACCAATCTATTCTCTTGGTAAAATGACTCTTTCAGGCACTTGTTATAACATTGTTCATGCTTTATGTAATTTGCAAGGTATGTGGATTTGTGCTTCTGATATATTCCAGATCCATGTCAATTCAAGAAGAAATACCCTATTTTAGTTAGACGACTAGTCCGGTGATGGGTCCTTTGCTAACCGCTTTCCAAGCATTTTTAATGTTGATTGGAAAAAAACATGCTTCATTTCTAATAGGATCATTTCCAATAAGAATTTCAATTGGACATGGAAGAAAAATCCTAGTAAATCTATGGAGTTTATGGAGTTAAATGCTCTTTTGGGGGCTCTATCCTAGGTGGACTTAGGTGCCATTTTCGAAGCGAAAATGTTTGTAGTTTGCGGACCATCTCTGCAACCCTCTATAGCAGAAGAGGGGGACCAAACAGCTGCAACATGTAATAAAAAGTTTGTTTGTTTTTTAATATCTGTAGACTGCTGCAATAAGTTAAAGTAAGGTGTGAAGAGGTTTGAAGAAGAGAGTCAAGTATTGCGCCACGCAGCACACACACAATAATTTTTAAGTCAGAAGTCTTTTGAGAAACAAATAGCTGCGAAGGGTCAAGTGTTGCGCGTGTGCTGCGCGACGCAATAATAAGCGGTTATAAGAGATTTTTTTAGAAAAAACAAACACCTTAGTTGTTGGAGCAGATAAATGGAGATGCAAGCTCTATTCTAACGGGAATTTCTATGTTTGTAATTTGAGATCCCTTTATTGATTTTAAGATTACTGCTCAAGTGAACAATCTAACCATCTGGGTTCATTTGGCTCATCTTAAAGTTATTAGGTTTGTCTGGCGTGCCTGGATCGGATCCCTTCGGATTCCTAATCATTTGAATTGTCTCTTTTGTTCCACAGGCCTGGATGAGTCGAACCACTTTTTGGTGGGTTGTCGTTTTGCTAATGAGGTTTTGAGGTGGATTTTCCAATGGTATAACATTCCAACTCAAAATTTTGTGACAGTTAGTGAGTTGATGGCTTTCGCGGCGGATCGGATGTGATGTCCAAAGAAGCGTCATCTTTTTCTGGTCATCATCTATGGTTTCTTATGATGCGTTGGAAAGCTAGGAATGACTTGATTTGCAAAAACATGAAAACTTCCTTCTCGAAGCTGGTGGATAACCTCACTCAGTTTTTAGTTGGATAAAACATAAAAATCATTTTAGTGTTTGTAACTGGACATAGGATTTGTTCCTTTTTAATATTATGTAATTGTTTCTTCTTGACCTGTCTTGTGGTTAATTCGCAGTCAGTATATTTCCGCAGTTTTTAAAAAAAAAAAAAAAAAAAATTAGAATATCCTTAAAATTCAAAAGATCTTAATTCAAATTTTTACCAAAACGACCATAGTAACTAACCCATCTTGATTCGTGACTCACTCGAGTCAACTTGTTGAAGTCAAACTCGCACTTGCCAAAACCCAACCTGATTTGGAATTCGCTCGGCCCAAATACGCACCATCGGATCACCGGTGTTCTGATTCTGAACGGAGGGACATCACACCACCTTGCAGCACCCGCAATGATTTTCGACGGCCTGGACTTCCGGTCGAAGAAAGATGATGCGTGGTACGCCTGTGGCGTCGTTCTTGACGGAAAGAAGCTCCGAGTGAAGTTCAAGGATTTTGTGGAGAGCTTCCATGACGAGGTTTTCTCCATCTCTGATTTCTCCACTCACCGTGAAATTGAACAATTTCTCCTTAGATTTCGTCCGACCTCCATGCCGATAGAGGAGAATGAGTGCTCCAAAGTGATAGAAGGCATGATGGTCTCTGCTACATATACACGCGATGGATTAGTTCGATTCTTTGATGCCATTGTTGATGCCGTACGTATCTTATCACAAATTAGGCAAATAAGCTCCAGTTTTACAAAATTCTCGTCCAATTTTATTAGAATTATATAACTTAAACAATCTCTGTGTCATCTGTTCATTCGTAACATTCTTCCCCAAATTAACCGTTCTTGCTTTAATATAAAGATCACAATTCCAAGATTGACATGATCACAGTGTGATAATTTATGTTTTGTACTGGATAGGTGAATTACAAAGAGCACACACCTGGGAAGTGCCTATGCACTTACCTACTATTCTGGCAACATGGTCCTGCTGAAGGCAACATAACTGCAGCAAGTATCGATGATATATGCCTTATTATGTCTGGTGCCATTGATCCCAGAGTGACTGAATTCGCAAAGCTTGTGAGGGAAAAACTTAGAGGTGCCTCTTCTCAATCTAGTTTCACATCCAAGGCTCCATTTTTGTCTAAAAAAACAAGTTCAAACCAAACTCTCAACAAGTTACAGGCAAGTTTTTCTGTCTTGCAGTTCTCATAGCTTTTTACTCTGGTAATTATCTGCAAATGGTTGGCTTCTTGATATGTAGGAGTTCAGTGGTGATGGAGACAGTCGTAATGGTGGATCATCTGAAGGTTTAAATGCTTTTTTAAACTTTATTTTGTAAATCTTAGGGATTTGAGAACTCATCATAATTTGTTTGTGCAAAATAGGGAGGGAAAGATTCAAGATTCAACTAAATGATCAAGACAGAGATATGGGAGGTGTGAAAGATATTGGCTTTCATCATTACATAATATTAGAAAATCTGGAGAAAAATCTATCTCCAGTGTTAATGGCAGAGTTCATACATGAACACACTTCAATCACAGCACAAGCATATGTTTTTTTAAGCTTGTCAGCAGAAACATATGCTAGAGGAGCACTTGTTTTAAATAGCAAATCAAAGCTTAAGAGGATATATGAATTTATAAACAACCCAAATCACTTCATTGTATCTTCATCTGGAAGGTAACCATTGTCAAATTCTTTAACTGGAGCTTCTTCTCTAGCCAATTGAGGTGTATGATTATTTCCTGTGTAGGCCATGGGTAATAGCTGAAGACATGCTTAGAAATGGAACTTTCAACATAAACCTTCAGAGCTTGCAGCTAAAGTGTAAGGTAAAAGTTTCACTTCTGTTGTTAAAAATGGAAATCAGGGTTTCAATATAAACTGTATTTTGCTGTTTTCTTTCTGTCTTTCTTGTTTATTCTTGATTGATCTTTGAAGTTTGAACTCCCTTCTACTCCAATCCCAGAACCAAAATACAGAGAGCAAGTTAATAATTGTACGATTAGGAACAGATGAATATACAAGAGCTAAACAACTGAAAGAGATATACATGGAATTTCGTGATCATGTAAATATACTTGTGGAGAAGTTAGATATGGAGGAGAAGAAGAACTTGAATCCATCCAGTGCAAATTAGAGTCTGCAAATTGTATATATGCAGTTTCTAATGAAGGTAATTGAATAAATGCATCTTTGTTTTGTGTTATTTCATATAAAAGTTGAAATTATTGTTTGTTGCAGGTTTGTAACTTGTAAAGGTGCAAGTTTTTTTGTGTATGTATGTGAAGTTGAGATGTAAGATAGCAGCTATTAAGAGACCTGTGTTTGATTCTTTGTTTGGTAGCTCTAGTGAAATAATCATCTTTGTGTTAGAATAAACCTACAATAATGTGACCTTAGGACCATTTCTGTAATGAATAATGTGTTAGTAATATATTTACTGATTGTATCCTCAATTATGCCATGATGATACAACTGGTCCTCCAATTATTGTGAGATGTTACTTGTTGGAAGTAACCATCAAAATATGGAGTGTGGTTAGTGTTCTTGTTTTTACTTGTTCAATCATGGAATCACATGAGACAGATCGCTGTGACTTGAAATACTCAACATGTGGTATTCGAGCATGTTTTAGTTATTATTTTATGTGGATTATTAATTATCGTACAATACTAATATGTTTTATGATTAACATAAAACATGTCCACAATTTACCCCCACATGATGGACATGTGGCGGGTTAGATGTGAGTTATACAAAGTATGCGACCTACTTTTTTATTATTATTTTATTTCAAATTTCTAAATTCTATACGAGGAAATTAGAAAGAAACCAAACATTTAAGGTCATGAATGGATTTGATATAGATGTTGGAGTTGTAGGAACACTAACTACATTTAATGTTAGATGGTGGCTTTCGTTTAATTCATTATACCACTCTTTATTTACCAAACACAACTCAAGAATTAATATATGTACTATTATCATGGCGAAGTCACAGTTGTTTGAATTTTGAAATCATGTGTTATGGTTTAATTGGTAGGCCGTGTATGATGAGACGTAATGTTAAAAAGTTCATGAGAATCTTCATAAATCATAAGAGAATGTGAGATATGGAAACTTCATTTATGATATGGCATCATAAATGTTAAGACTTGTGAAATATGAGGTTTTGCCGAGTCTTAAATTCTTGTACTTTAATAAGTGTTAAGGAAAATGGTAGAGGGAAATAAGAAAGGTGCCGGAAGGATATCCAGGTTATTGAAACTAACAGCCATCGATATGTAGATATTCTCATGTGGATACAAGTGGAGATAAACAAATTATTATCTTGACGGACGACTACTAGCTAGTGTTATATGTACTTATAAGAACTCCAAACTGCAAAATATGTTTAAAACATGTAATGTCGAAGTTCGAAAATCAATTCGACTGAAAGATTAAAATAATTAGTGGATAACTACATGAGTTTTATCTTAGACATATTTTAAATATATATATTCCTCTTCCACCGAAGACCCCAACAGTTAACTAGTAATTCTCAAATATAATAAAATCAAACTAGTGCGCACAAGACTCGTGTCTATGTACGGTACGTCAATACAACTCACATGACTATCAATACATTGAAAGGATAATGATTTAAAAGGGTAATATATTTTTTGATTTGTACACATTTAATAACTGATTTTTTTTTTGTCCATATTTACCCCTTCAACTTGTTAAACTATACAAATTTAGTCCTTATGACCGGCTACTCCAAGTTACCCGGTAAAAAAGACTTAATAGGGTAATATATTTCTCAATTTGTACACATTTAGTCCTTAATATTTTTGTACACATTTAGTCCTTAATATTTTTTTTTGTTGCAAAATAAGTCGTTTTTGTTTTTGTACTCATTTAGTACTTATAAATAATTTCTTTAGGTTTTTCTCACAACATCTTACGTAGATAACCATATGGTGCTGGGATAGGTTGAGGTGAGCCTGCTATATGTTATAGTGCGGGCCAACTGTAAGCCATAGACACAGATGCTCGAGAAGAGTGGTTGGGTTAAGGCGGCATGCCGACAAACCCTGAGTATTCCAGTCCGATGATTGATCGGACCTGTTGCAATGTTGGCATTCCAGTTCAATGACTGCTTGAGCCAAGGTATTCCAATCTGATGAGTGTGGGGCCGTTATACATGATAATACGTTTGTTATATCACGTATTTTAAGGGAAACTCACTAAACTTTGTGTTTACTCAATTGTTTATGTTTTCAGGTTCTACCGTTGATCGTGAGAAGACGAAGACATGATAGTACACACTCATCAACAGTACTGATGATTCCATGTTTCTTATATTACTCTGATTTTCGATAAATGTATTTTTAAATAAACGTTTTTTCTTAATAATGAATTTATAACTAGGGAGTTTTGCCTTATTAGAAAATAAAAAAATTTTGTTGTGAAAATGAGACGTTACACATAAACATCAATAACCCCACACCCTTCATCAATGATTGTCCCACGTAAGATGTCGTGAGAAAAACCTAAATAAATTATTAATAAGTACTGAATGAGTATAAAAACATAAATGACTTATTTTGAAACAATAAAATATTAAGGACTAAATGTATATAAAAATATTAAGGACTAAATGTGTACAAAAATATTAAGGATTAAATGTGTACAAAATGAGAAATATATTACCCTATTAAGTTATTTTTACCGGCTAACCTGGGGTAACCGGTCATAAGGACTAAATGTGTACACTTTAACAAGTTGAAGGGGTAAATATCGACGAAAAAAACTCAATGACCAAATGTATATAACTCGAAAAATATATTACCCTTTTAAGTCATTATCCCTATATTGAATTGCATGGAATTTTGTGAACTTCTCACCATGGTGAAGGTCCATAGAAAACATGTTCGGATTTGCTTATGTTCAAACAAAAGACAAAAAAAGATGAAGAAAATTAGTAACCTTCCTATTGCAATCGTTTTTTCATTGATGATAATCTCATTAATGGAGACTAAACAACTTACTATATGGGGCTCTCATATAAAAATGATGGTTCGGTGGTCGAATTGTCCACATTTGATACACCATCAGAAGGGGGAGAGAATTGTGGTGAGTTAACATACGAGAGATAATATATTTTATCGACCAAAACAATAATAATTCATGTTGAAATTAACAAATTTATATTTTTTGAACGAGGATTACCAAAATCCAAAAAACTTGCAAACCATAAAGACCAAATTTGATCTAAATACATGGGTGTTTTGGATAATAAATATAAATTTATTATCATTATAGATAAAAATAGGAATGAGCATAAGCGGGTACCCGCCACATTTGGCGAGAACCGGAACCGACGGTTCTTAGAAAGTTATAACCGGAACCGAAATCGCTCTAGGTAGCTCTTAAATATTTGGAACCAGTTCCGGAACCGGCGGCTCCCGGGTTACATTAATTTTGTTATCTTTTGCCGATAAAACCGCAATTTAGTTCGATCTAAATCAAATCAATTCGGACCAAAGACGGATAAAATCGGACCAATATATTCTAAACCGGTCTAAGTAACACACACGCGCGCGCGCACATACACACACACACACACACACACACACACACACATATATATATATATATATATATATATATATATATATATATATACCGGTTCCGACGGGTACCCAACGAATAGCGGTTCCGAAAAAATGAGAACCGAAACCGCAACCGCTTAAGGCGGTTCCATAATTTTAGGAAAGCGGTTCCGATTCCAAAATCGGCAGTTCCGAGACGGTTTCGGTTTCAAAAGCGGATATCCGGTTCCGAGGCTCATCCCTAGATAAAAAAAATAAAGAAATAGATTGTTCATATCTATAAAATACTAGTAGTAAATTGAGTTAATATTTCGAGTAATATGTTGTTTATATCACAAAACCAATGCAATGGTCAGTTGGTCACATAAATAAGTACATTTTTTTTTTCAAAAGACAAATGCCCAAGGCAAAGATCCAATAGCAACCGGACTGATTAAAAAGATTGTTATCAGTTCAAAACGACACGACATTCGTGTACATTGTAGAATCAGAGTTCGACTTTAATTTTTAACTCAACTGTTAAAACTGAGCTAACGTCAAAACCCTAGGTAAGTACTCGCTTTCCTCAGATCTACCCCTTTCGCCCATCAATTTTCTTCTACAATCACATCCCATGAATTCAATTTCACTATGTATACTTGATCTGTAGAAACTGTTGAATGCAAAGATGATGAGGTTTCCGACAATTTTAACGGCTGCCGTCGTATTTTCCTTCCTAATTACAGAGACCGTCGGGATTAGATTCGTAATCGACAGAGAAGAATGTCTATCCCATAATGTTGAATACGAAGGTGATACAGTTCATGTCTCTTTCGTTGTAATTAAGGCCGAATCAACATGGCATTTCGCTGAAGAGGGTGTTGATCTCGTGGTAATTTCTTTCATTCTATCACTTAATTCTTTCTTTATTGGAGAAATTTATATGTTCTTGTAATATGTTGGAGTTTCTATTTTAGCTATACTGTTTCATGTTGGAACAGAGAGCATTATTGTGCATTTAATTTTCAAAGAAATAGGAAAGTCAGAAAGTAAAAGCAATATACTTACATTTTTTTACACATAGTAACAATGTATTTAAATTCTTTTATGGGTAATAACAATATGTAACAAATAAAGAACATTGCGGCATGCCCATGATGAAAAATGGGTATAATATATTTTGAAAGAGGAGGAGGGGATGATGTGGCCCTGACGTGGCACAAAATGGTGAAAGATGAAAGATGGGTACACATTATAGCCTAACTACATTGCTATTATGGGTAAATAATTGTAAACTGATTTTATCTATAAAGAATTATAAGTACATTTCTATTTTGAGTAAAAACCCAATGAGTTGGTTGTTATTTTGGGTGAAACGTAAACTAGATTCCCCATATTAGTTGTGAGAGTAAGGGATTGTTTGATAGTTGCTAAGTCAGATCTGACTGAGTTAGATCTAACTGGGTCTAAAGTCTGACTGAATCTACATCTGACTAAATCCATGTTGTTTGATGTAATAATGATATCAGATAAAAGGTCCGGGCGGAGAGGAAGTACACAGTATGCACGATAGAACTAGCGAAAAATACGAGTTTATGGCTCAAAAAAAAGGTTTATACCACTTTTGCTTCACAAACAAGTCTCCATATCACGAGACAGTAGACTTTGATGTACAAGTTGGTCATTTCGCATACTATGATCAACACGCAAAAGACGGTAATGCCCTTGGGAACTTTGACTAGAAGTTTTCCTTTCATTTTGGTCAGCTAATATTTTTTTTTAATTTGTGGGTCCCGCAGAGCATTTCAAGCCGTTGTTTGATCAAATAGCGAGATTGGAAGAAGCGCTTTACAATATTCAGTTTGAACAACACTGGTTACAGGCTGAGAATGATCGTCAGGCAGTTGGTATACTTTATGACATCTGAAAAAAAAAAAAAAAAAAAAAAAAAAGATACTTTTGACTTTTTTAGGATCAAATTACAGAATAGCCACTATAAATTTTAACCATTTACCCTAAAAAGACATTAGCTATATATATAATGCATTAAATGCGTTACCTTTTTAAAAAAATGGAAAAGCCATTGAGGAACTGGTAAAGGGTCAGCATTAAATGCCTCGGTATTAATGTTTTTCATGTAAATGACGGAAAATATAGTGGCTTTTTTGTAATTTGTCATTTTTAAGTTTTTAATGGTGGTGTGTTATATTACATGGGGTGCAGTAAATGAGAAAATGGGTAGAAGAGCAGTCCACAAGGCACTGATTGAATCAGCAGCACTGATCGGGGCTAGTGTTCTCCAGGTTTATCTCCTGCAACGTTTGTTTGAACGAAAGCTTGGGACGTCTAGAGTTTGAAAACATGAAGCCTGAAGGTGATTCGTAACTTGTATTTGGGTGCATGTAGGCCAAATGTATCTTTTTAAAATGGCCTTTTAAACATTATTTTTTTATTTGAGTTATAGCCATTTTACTTCATTGCCCCATTTCTAGTCGGATTAAAAAGGTTTAGCATTGGGTTTTAATTTAATTTAATTATTTTGATTTTCTATCCAAAATTTTATGAAACGACTATAGATTATTATATTAATTATATATCATTTTTTAACTGAGAGAAAATGATAAAAATATCACATATCTTAATCGGTTGACAAATAATAACTAATAATTAAGCCCATTCCACAAATAACTTTCACAATGAACCTACTGTGCGAATTGTCGGTGTCCAGTGAAATGCTAAACGACTTCGCATTGCCTTATAATTGTCACTAAGAAATGGGTTTGGAAAATGGTGATCCTTTGAAACGGCGATTGCAAATGATGGGCCCGAAATAATCTTTTAGGGCTATAAAGCTGTCGGGACTCCGGAGTCCGTGTACCAACCACACACCACGCCTCGTGCCTATGTGGCCACTTAAAAATGCGGGTGACCCCTCTCTTTCTAATGGCTGCCACGCTCCTCTCACATTCATATGAGTTGTAGATTTAGCGGTGTTCGTGGTACGATTTTGGAGTCAAAATGCAAACCGCATCACATATACGGTTTGAGAATTTTGGAAACCGCAAACCTCACTACGAAGGTTCTAAATCGCGTTATGCGGTGCGGTTTATACGATTTTTGTGCGGTTGTGTATTTTTAATTCTATGAAAAGTATGTTTAACTACTTATATTATAAGATAAAGTATATGCAAGTAATAGTTAATGAAACTAAAAATTGCCTCCATCTTAACCGCAAACAATCATTGTTCAATTTAAAATGAACAAGGAATATATATATATATATATATATATATATATATATATATATATATATATATTTGCCATAATGCATCAATTACTTTCAAATTCATTAATCATAAAACTATTATAAAATATGATCAAATAACAAGATAACTTATTAAGTAAAGAAAGATATGAGAGTGGAAACAACTTTTATTCCAATGCTTATGATGAAATTATCAAAACTTTACAATACATAACACTCACTATTTATACTAGATAAAGAAGATGAAAGGTAATGTATGTTATGAATGCTCATTATAATGGTGCATAACTACACTCATAAAACTCATAAATATGTTTGTTATAATGTTCACTAATTATGGAGAGTGATTGAGGAATATGAAGAATCTAATAGTCATTCACTAAATAATAATTCATAACACTCCTCATTGAATGACGATTATATCATGCCTCGTTAAAACTTTAATAGGTAAAACCTCACGGTGAAAACCCTTTATTAAGGAAAAAGAGTACATAATTAATAATAGATATTTAGAATAATTGTCTCGTTAAAAACCTTGCTAAGAAAATCCAACGGGAAAAACATAGCTAAGGAAAAGAGTACAATATGTTTCCAACTTCCCCTGATCACCACATCAATTGATTTCCTTAAAGCGTCGCATGCCAATGTTTCGTACCATCTTTTCAAATTTGGATGTAGGAAGTGCTTTAGTGAACAAATTGGCCACATTGTTATTTGATTGAATTTTCTGGATGTTTATTATATGCTCATTTTGAAGATCATGAGTGAAAAAGAACTTTAATTATATATGCTTGGTTCTGTCTTCTTTGATAAAACCTTCATTGAATTGGGTTATACAAGTCGTATTAGCTTCATATAGTATGGTTGGAACATCCCTATTAGAAGTTAGACCACAATTCTTGCAAATGTTTTGAATTAACTTTCTTAACTAAATACATTCATGACTTGCCTTATGGATTGCTATAATCTATGCATGGTTAGAATAAGCAGCAACTAAAGTTTGTTTAACATAATGTCAAGAAATTTTCTTACCTCCATAATTGAATAAATAACATGTTTAAGTTCGAGCTTTATGTGGATCAGATAAATATCCAACATCAACATAATTAATTAACTTCACATTTAATGAATTTGATTAGTATAAATTCATATCCATTGTACCTCGAAAATATCAAAGAATGTGTTTGACTTATTCCAGTATCTTCTTGTTGGACAAGAACTATATCTTGTTAGTAAGTTTATGACAAAAGATTTATCAGGTCTTGTATTAATCGTAAGATTTGGTGGACCAATAGCACTAACATATGGTTCTTCGGGAACAAGAAGATTTTCATGTTTATTATGATGCTGACATTTGTCCTTTTTGGCATCTAAGTGCTTTACTACCTTCGGGTTACTCATGGATGTGAGTTATTAATATAAAACATTTTAAGCACTTTTTCTAGCTATTAATGTACAAAAACTCCATTTTTGTGTGCTCAATTTGAAGACCCAAACAAAATTTCATCTTACCAAGATCATGCATTTCAAAATTTTCTTTTAAACATGAAGTGACATTTTCTAATTCTTTAGGAGTTTCAATTATGTTCAAATCATCTACAATAACATCAATTATGATAAATTCTTATCTGTATCTTTTTATAAATACACATAGGCTCAATGGATCATTTTTATAGCACTCTTTCAACAGAAGTGTACTTAAACAATTGAAGCACATACGACCAGATTGTTTTAGTCTATACAAAGATTTATTTAATTTTACCGAATATACTTCACGAGAATTAGAAGTTTGTGCTTATAGCACCTTAAACACTTATGGGATTTTCATATATATATATATATATATATATATATATATATATATATATATATATATATATATATATATATATATATATATATATATATATATATATATATATATATAGGCAGTAACTACATCCATCAGACACATCTCTAGTTTTTCATGTGTTGCCAAACTTATTAGATAACAGAATGTAATTGCATCAACCACAGGCGAGTATGTTTCTTCATAATCAATTTTAGGCCTTTGGGTAAAACCTTGTGCAACAAGTCTTGCTTTATATCTCACAACTTCATTTTTCTCTTTTTTTTGTGCACAAATACCCATTTGTGTCCTACTGTTCTTACTATGTTTGGTGTAGGAACTACAGGTCCAAAACTTGAGTAAGAGAATTAAGATCTTTATTTATTTCATCTTTTCATTTTGGCCAATATTTTGTATTCATACATTTCTCAATAGATTTGTTGGGTTTTATTTAAAAAACTAGTTTCAAAAACTACAAATAATTGCAAACGGAAGACTTTAGTTTTATAAAATAACATAAATTTTTTATCATCCACTAAGGATCATCTTGCAAGTAAAGGAAAGATTTAAAACACAACCATAGAAGGAAGAAGTGGTAACAACCTTTGAAGCACTTTAAGTCCTCTAGGGGAGGCTTGGAAGTTGATGGAGTGAAGATGAACCCTTGAGACACCAACAACGTGCCAACTTAATGTAATTCTAGTTACAACTCTTAAGCTTTTAAGCTAAAACAAGATTATGACTTAAAGAGAGAATGCAAGCAACAAAATCTTTAAAGTTCAAGACTTTAGAGAGAAGATGAAGAGGGGAGAAGTGTTTTTTTTACCCTAAGGATAGTTATCCGTATCTGATTTAGTGTCTATGGAATTTGTAGCCGGGGAGTTCCGGAGCAACAATCAATCAGCTTCAGATTTAGCATCTCAGCAGCCAGCGTTACGAGATGAGTTATCCTTCTAGTAGGAATGGGTCTACGGTCACAATGTCGACCCGTTTAGTTAGTAGTAGTCATGGACTTAGGTCCGATGCAGTTTCCAGAATTCGGTCCGATGCAGAGGGCAAGGCCCTGGTTAGCTCCGGACTTCGATCTGACGCAGTTTCCGGACTTCGGTCCGATGCAGAGGGCAAGGCCCTAGTTAGTTCCGGACGTCGGTCCGATGCAGAGGGCAAGGCCCTAGTTAGTTCCGGACTTCGATCTGATGCAGTGGGCAAGGCCCAGTAGTTGCTTTATATGTTATTGCATGGTATGTGGTAGATTGGGGGAGCTCACTAAGCTTTGTGCTTACAGTTTCAGTTTTTGGTTTCAGGTACTTCCGCAAGTAAATGGAAGAGCTCGGGATGATGGCATGTCACACACCACAGCTTCAGGTTATCCAGGGAATTTTTATTCGGATGTTTTGATATGTTTTGATATCAGTTGATTTGATACATTCACTATTACATTTGAGACATGTGATTCGTGGTTTTATTATACGATGATTACCTTCATGGTTATAGTAATGTATAAAACAAAGAAATTTTTAGGTTGTATTTTTGGGATGTTTCACATGTACTCCTAGGAAATTATGATTTGGAAGGCTACACCTCTAGAAGTAGTGGTTGATCGACGAAGCTACCGAAGACTTGTTATCGTTAAAGTTATGCCTAACTGTCAAAGCATATTTTGTAGTAGAAGTTCATGAACATATTTTGATGTAATATTTTTTATCCATAATGGAAGTGATATATATGTTTTATATTGTTTTATACCGTTCAATGTATGTTCAATGACTGTGATCCAATATCCCTACGTCGTGCAGGCGCTTCTGCCACCAACCGACGGTGTGACATCATAAAATATAAGAATAAGAGAGCATACAAGTTGAGAATCGTTTAAGAGTATAAAATTGAGAATCGATTTTAGGACATACTAGACTACAAACTAATAATTGAAAACTAAGGATCTATTCCTAATTCCTAAGAACTACAAAGTGAATCGATTTTTTGTAAGGTGAGAACTGCAGAAAACAAATACCAAAATTGTAATCAGATAGTGGCTACGTATCATATGTAAAAATCGATTGAAATAAAATCACACCTGAGGAAGAAGACGGAGGAATGAGGAAGGAGGAAGAATTTGTGGAGGCGACGAGGAAGAAGACAACGAGGAGGAAGAAACGATGATCGAGGAGGATGAACTTATTTCTTCTTCTGCTTGCGTCTCTTCTGATAGGGCAAAATTGACACACATAATTGAGGACTGAATCCTACCCCTAATCCAATCGGACCAAATTTGAAGCTTTTGTGAAGACAGAGTCCCAACTTTGGACCGAGTCCAATGATAATATGTAAAAGAAACACCTGGTTTCGGATTGAGTCCGAAATTGGACCCAATTCACGTCATATCAAACATGCCCTAAAGATAATTGCAGATCTACAACTTAAGCTCAATAAATACTGGATTTGTTAAACCCTCCACCTACCATCTCGTTCTCTCTT